GATAAAGTTTGCTTACCATAAGTTGTTCTGAAAAAAGGCAATCGAAAACAATCAAAGCGTAGTTCATAGGGAGTATCCCTTTGGTAGCAATGCTTCATATAAGTGCCAATGGTGTTTCCTATTTCATTAATGACATATAAGCTGAGTTTAAGATTGTATAATTGGTAGACAGTAAGTATCCGAAATTTGCCAAAAAAATGGAGGAGTATGTTCTCTAGGTTGCAGATTTTCTATGTAGCATACAGACCTTTTTTTGTAAAACTAACAGCCTGTCAAGATTGGTTTTTGAAGTTGTGCCCCAAATTAAAAGACAGTAATGTAGATGGGAATGAACCAAAGAATAATATAGCTGGAGCTTTAACCAGTTTGGAACTAGAACCTAAGTTTATTTAAAACCGAAATCGATCGAGACGTATTGGCATGTACTTTATTTATTCGAGGTGTCCAACTCAGGTGCTCATTAAAAAGTACACCTAAAAATTGAAACAAAGAGACTCGTTGGATTTCATTATTTTTAAACTAGAGAGAAATCCTGTATTCTTCACACTTGTTTTTGCTCCTAAATAAAATAAATTTCGTTTTACTAACATTCAACTGTAGTTGGTTTGAATCTAGCCAGTAAGAGAGTGAGACCAGGCATTCATTCGCTTTCTTCTCAAGATCTTTTAGACAACTGCCAGAGAAGAACAAACTTGTATCATCTGCATACATAACTGTAGAAGAAGCCACTGGCACATGAACGATTTCATTTATATAAATAATAAAAAATAGAGGTCCCAGTACAGAACCCTGAGGCACACCTAGTGTTACTGGTTCTAACTGGGAATTATACCCATGAAGACATGTATATTTTAAACATGAACACATGTATATTTCATCGTTACCAGCCGCAGTATTTTTATTTAGCCCCATAATAAAAGAATAGATCTCCAATTCACTACATGGCGACAGAAATAGAGAATTCATACAAGAGGAAGCTATGTATTCTTCAATGTTTAATTGCTTTGCGGAAGACGAATATGTACCAGAAGTTAAGAAGTATGAATTGAATTTATTTGACAAAGCCTCTTTATGTATGAGACACCATCAGTCAACAACGTGCTAGGAATGGTATTTTGTTCTTGACCAATTAGAGAACGTAATGTGTTCCAAACTTCTTTAGGGTCATCGGAAACAGCAAGGAATCTGTTTTTATAATATTCAGCCCTAGCTTTCTTGAGGTCAGAGTTTAACTTGTTTCTCACTTTCTTATACTCGTGAAGAAGCGCTAAGTCTTTTACATTAATAAATTGATGGTACATGATATCTCGTGCTTTGATTCTCTGATGTAACTCTTTTTACCCATGGTTTTCTACTTTTTTTAAGCATTTTCGCATAACGTTTAGGGAAAGCTTCCTCGTAGCAACTCTTGACTTCTTTCAGAAATCTTTCATATGAGATGGTTGGGTTTTCTTCCTTGAGAACATTTGAACAGTCGACAAGCTCGATCATTGAGCGAAAAGCAGAGAGAGATGTTTCATTAAACCTACGATAAAGAACAGGAGCAGTACGAGTTCGGCATATTGTGTTTTTTTTTTTTTAGCAGGAAAGATGCAGAACATGGGCAGGTGGTCACTCAACTCGCTCGCGAAAATTCCACAAATAACATCACTTTTAAAGTTAGTAACACACAAATCAATCAGTGTTTCACTTAATCCTGTAATTCTAGTTGGCGAATTTATTACAATTCCACGGGAGCATAATTCGATCAAGCTTAATAATTGATCTGATTGTGGAGTGTTTCTCAATATGTCAATGTTAAAATCACCAACAAGAACAATAGGCAACATTTCTGTAGACACATATTCAAACAGGAAACTAATATATTCAAAAAAAGGTTTAGTATCATATAAAGGGGGGCGGTAAACCGAAGCAATAACTGTTCCCACGCTCTTAACAACAACGGATTCATAATTTTTCGTAAGACCTGAAAATTCGCCCAACACATCATAAGTAATACCATGCTATATAAAAAAATATATATAGTAATATAAATATAAATACCATCCTTAAATAAACAAAGAGGTTCCTCCACCTCTACGATCGGATCTATAAACACCTTCTGATCTATAACCAGAAAAGTGTACAATATCCTGATCATTCTGAAACCAAGTTTCCGTAAATGCCATGAGGCGATCAGCGCGCCGTAAACCCTAGAGGCGATCAACGAGCTGGCATTGTCCACATGGGCTTGGCAAGAGAAAGTTGCATCGCCAGCAAATGCACTGGCCGCGAAACAGCAACCCGGCAACCTGTGACACGGGCGTCCAGAGAAGAATGAGACCTCAACACGCTTCGAGGGAGGCTGCTCAGGATGCAGCCACCGTGCACAGCAAGCGCCGATGCTCCTGGCGCAAACCTCCTTTGAAGCTAGTCGCCGAAGACAATCCCGGGGTGGCCAGGTCAAATTGGGCATCGCCAGCGGTCGCTAGCCCAACCACCAAGACACCGCCACATCACCGACATCAGGCAAAGACGACGACGGGCGACTATGTCGGCAGCGGCTAGGATTGGTGACGTTTGTCTAGAGCATCGAGAACCTTGAGAGTGACACAGCGTGACCGACCCCGGACATTGACAAGCCACAAATTGGCTTAGTCAAGTAATATCAGCGCGAATCTTTTGCGGGACTATGAGGCTAGAGATGCCTGACGGTATAGCGTGTAGCGCGGTTGGAGTGTAAGCCTAGTGGGTCTGAGTTTGAATTTGAAGGTATTAATATTGTATTTGTACATAGAGAGTGTGCCGTGCAGGTGTTCATTAAATGTGGTGTGTTGTTAATAAAATCATGTCTCAGTTCATCGCCCGCAGCAGCAGCAGCCCGTAATCTGTGACAGCTATGCCTAGCATTTTTTCAGCTTGTTGTCACGCACTGCAGAGAAAACATTTCTTGCTACGATAACAGATGCTTCAAAAGCCAGGGAATGCACATTTAGGCATTTTGATTCCGCCACCTATGCGGTTGGCCTTGAAGGATTAGTTGATTGATGTTACTGTGCAAACCAAAGTCTAAAGAATAAAGCTTTCGTGTCGTTCATTCCTTCAACCTAGTCCTTCCGTGTTCACGCAGTTTTTTCGCAATGGCCAGTAGACAAACGTGAAAAATGCAAGAATTGACCTAGTACTTCAGTGTTCGCGTGGTTTCTTCGCAGTGGCCAGTAGACAAAATCCAAAACTACGAGGATTTCAACGTAAACTTTGGGCAGGACCCCATGATTAAAATTGCATGCAGATCGATTGCCATCGGCAAACCATAGCACCAAGGAATTTTTTAAGCCCTTGAAGCACACAGAGCTGGGCTTGTGCGTGCTTATAAAACAGCGTGAAAAAGGCACTGCACACACACTGTGTGCATCCCCATGCTATGTATTTTTTCGCACTGTCTTCGTGCTATTGTCATCACATTATTAAAATCAGACACGTGTTATTTCCTGTGGCAGCCATACACTAATCTGGTTTTAGAACGTGTAGCAGGCCTTGTTTTGAGAGCTCTGTAAAGGCTAAATAGAACTTGTGAACTCATGGTTTACCCATGTGCAGTCTATCTGCACGAAATTCTAATCGTGACCCCCTGTCAGATGTTTACGGCAGTATCTTGCATAAGTAAAAGGTAATCTCTCATTTGCTGTCGCTTGTGTTAACTGACGTTGCCACCCACATAGTAGCCAAAACGTCTATGTTTTGTTAATTGTTGTATTGTATTGTATTATTGCTTAAAACCCAGCCAACGTGCCTGTGACGTCAACACAAATTGGGGGACCTTTAAGCTTCGCCTTTAAGAGTTGAATGCGATAGCGAACTCTGGCCCCTAGTGCACCCTTCAACCGCTAAGTGCATACTTATTCATATGTTTTGTTACATACACATGCACGCACACAAACACGCGCACAGTACATTGGACCAGCATGCGCTATTATCGCCGAGTGGGCTCGTTTTCGTCTTATTGCTTCACCAATTCAACACCGCAAAAATTTTAAGAATCCGTCCAGTGCAAGTGTAGTTACAAACTTCTCTCGTCCCGACAAAAGCGCTGGAAGCTAAGCAGGGAGGGCTGGCATGGCAAAGAAACTATTGAGCCTTGTGACCTTGAGCACTTTTTTTTTTTGAATGCGTGGCTTTTTTAGCGTGATCGCCCACGCACGTGTGGACAAGTAGCGGCCTCCCACGGCTATCTCGGTAACTTGATTTTTTGGTCACAGATGCACAGACGATTTTTCCCTCACAACCAACAGGGCCAATGCCAGCGGCAGGTTTAATGCGGCACGAGCTCTTTAAAATTAATATACGCTCAATTTCTTCAACGTCATGGCTAGGGGGGTTCCTCCCTCTGTCTGCAGCTGCCTGCCAGCTTTGCTCAGGGGAATGTAAATGTCTACGCGATATACACGACAATAGATCGAATGATGCAAACAGTTTTGAATATGGTGTGAGGGACCCAATCATTTTCTCCTATTTGTTATTGGCGGTATTAATAGGTGAATAAAAGTATTCTCATCCTGCAAATAGGGATGTGCACTTCCCTTTGGAATGTGGGTGCAAGCAATGGTCAGCATAAATTTTCTCTTTTATTTAAAACCTTGATGTCTTGTGAGTAACGATCACCTAACATCACAAAAATTTCTATTCTGAGAAGCATAGAGTTTCTCACAATAGCAAACTCTATGATGCTGAGAAGGACTGAACATCACTTATCACGACATAGGAAGTCTGCAGGCCAAAACAGTTATCCGGAAAAAAAAAAAATCTGTATGCTGTAAATGGCCGAGATCTGCGACATGCTGTTGGCTGCTGGAGAAAAAAAATTGACAAGAAATGCGGATGAATCTAATGCACCCATGATGGCGAATATACAGGACTTTTCACTGCATGTCAGGTCTTGAATGCACGTCTGAACGAGGGGAAGCGCTTGTGTGGGGACTGAGTGGTGAGGTATGCAACTGTGGTGAAATTGTCCACTGCAGGCCATGGACGTGCGAGTGGTGACGGCTAATAAGCGCCTGTACCCGGGTGACGTGCTGCTCATGCTGAATGGCGTGCCCGTGGACACCATGGACCAGAATGGCTTGAGAGCTGCTTTGGCAAAGGCCGTCAGTGAGCTGAATGTCACCATCGCGCCCATGTCACCGCTGCGCCTCCGAAGGCCCTCGTATACGCGTCTACACGAGACTGTCGTGACGGATGCGCGAGAGCCATCGACCAAAGCCAACATCCAAGCTGCGCCGCCACTTAACCGTTGATGGTAGTCGCCGCTGAAAATAGTGCAACAACGTAGTTATTGCAAACCCAATAAACCAATCGATCATTTTCTCTTCACTTATGGCAAAAAAACAAAAGAGTGTCATGGAAGAACTGGTTACCGTCCTTCTTAGAAAGTGTATTTGTTGCTTGGATTAGAAATTGAATGCTCAAAAGCCAACCCTAATGCAAGACTTCAGTGCCTGAGTGTGGCACTTGCACCGTTTTGGTAAACTTAATGAGTCATCATCTCTCTTATTTGCCAGTCGATGTTTTTGGCTCCCTAAACCGTGCGGCACCTAAAGTGCCTCAGTGATCTGAGCTGATCACGTTATAATGCGTAAGACTCCGTCTTGTTTGACGAAACAGCAAAGTCTTATGTTTTGGCACCCTCTGATGGTATGACGACGTGCCAAAATGATGCTATTAAGCAAAAATCATATTATTTGCATCGTTCACGTTTAACAGTTTGCCAAAACGTATCTCAGAGGCCACACGTGCGGTATATGCTCCCCTAGTTGCTTCGACGATCCAAGATGCTCACAACATTTTAATAAACTTGATTTTCAATAATTATTCTTAAGGTTATTTGCCTCCATTTTAGATAACATTGTTTTTCGTTGTCCTATTCATCAACATAGCACTTGAACAAGAACTACTCAAATATATTTTTAGAAAGGAAAACTAAAAATTAATGCTCAACATTGGCTTGCGAGAGAAATGAGTGTCACCCATACTCGTGCTATTAGAAACTGACATCCTTCATTTCATTTCATTTTATTTCCTTAAAGACCCCTTGCGGGGCATTACATAAGGGGTGGGTACATAAAAATTGAGCAGAAAACAATCGTTTGTCCTAAAGTGAAAGATGATTAGTGATACTGGTTGTGAAGGTAGAAGTACAAGTAATGGCAGGAATGTCGCCTGAAAGGCCATTCCAGGCAACTACTGTGCGAGGAAAAAATGATGTTGAAAAAGTAACGGTGCGTGCACGTGGGCGTGCGACTTGAAGAGGATGATTAGTTCGTTGAGAGATGTGCGCTGGGGGAACAAAATAAGGTGGCGTGCGCATCGAGCTGTGAAAAAACTTATGAAATAACGAAAGACTGGCGATACGGCGGCGGAGGGAAAGGAGGGGCAGTTGAAGTTCTGCCTTTAGTGAAGATACGCTGACGTCATGGGAGTAAGAATTATTTATAAACCTAGCGGCATGGTTTTGAATACACTCAAGGGCGTCTTCAAGATAGGCCTGTTGCGGGCTCCAGATTGGGGAAGCATATTCAAGTTTAGTTCTAACAAGGCTTTTGTAAGCTAATAATTTTACATTTCTAGGTGCGTTACGTAGATGACGTCGCAAGAATCCCAATGTTTTGTTTGCCGATGATATGACTTTCGTGATATGCAAACCCCATGAAAGATCGTTGCAGAGTGTGACCCCCAGATATTTAAAAGAATTAACAGTTTCAACTGGAACATTACTGATGGAATATGGAAAAACAAGTGGAGAACGGCGGCGGGTGAAGGATAAGGCTTTGCATTTGTGAGGGTTAAGTTCCATTAGCCAATCATCGCACCATTGTTTTACATTGTTAAGATCACTCTGTAGAGCTAATTGATCAGAAGCGTTACAAACAGTGTGGTAAATAACACAATCGTCGGCAAACATTCAGATTTTACAGGATACATGAGTTGGGAGATTGTTAATAAATATCAGGAATAAAATCGGGCCCAGAACCGACCCCTGCGGGACACCAGATGTTATCGGAAGTGAAGTAGAGGCAGCATTGTTAACAAAGACAGCTTGAGTGCGGTTACTTAAAAATTCACGGATCCACTTTAGGACGTCGGGGTGTAGGTTTAAGCGGGAAAGTTTCAACAGAAGGCGTTTATGGGGTACTTTATCGAATGGTTTCACAAAGTCCAGGAATATGGCATCAGTCTGTACGTTAGAATCCAAGTTAATATGCAAGTCGTGCGAAAACATAGCCAGTTGAGTCTCGCACGACAAACCTTTGCGAAAGCCATGCTGCGCGGAATTGAAAAAGTTATTTGAGTCTAGGAAGTCCATAATCCGGGTGTAGATGACATGTTCGATGATTTTGCATGGAATGCTGGTTAATGAAATTGGTCGGTAATTGAGGGGTGACTCTCTAATACCCGATTTGAATACTGGGGTGATATTTCCGTGTTTCCAATCAATAGGAAGCTCACCCGTGGAAAGAGACTGCGAGTAAAGTAGACAAAAAATTTTGCACAGATCTGTTGAGTGTTCTTTAGAAATTTCGAATTTATGTTGTCGATACCTGATGATGAAGATAATTTAAGTTTATCAATGATTGCCAAAACTCCGGGTTGAACAAAAAGGATTGGCGGCATGGAAGTACTGACTACGGTAGGCTGTGGCGTGGATGGAACGTCAGTTTCTTTGCTAAAAACCGATGAGAAAGCTCTATTAAACAGGTCGGCACATTCCGAGTCAGTGGCCACGTCACCTGCTTCATTAGTGAGAGTAATAGTGCATGAGTGGTTGGGATTTATGACCTGCCAAAATTTCCTAGGGTTACTAGCAAGCAATTTCGGTAAGTGAGTGTGAAGAAAAGAATGCGTAGCGTTTCGTATTGCCGTGAGGTAAGCTTTTTCAGCAGCATAATATTTTAACCATGCGTTTTCGATATTCTGCTGCTTGGCGGAACGAAAAAGGGGTTTTTTCTTATTTTTTAATTTTTTGAGCGTTTTAGTAAACCATGGTTTTTGGGAACAGGCACGGAAACTGAGCCTAGGAATGAATTTTTCGACCAGTGTATCACATTTATCCTTAAATAACTTCCAGTTATCATGCACCGTGCGATAAAGAAAATTATCTTTGAATATTGGAAGAAAACAGTTTAATTCATCATTTATAGCAGTGTAGTTTCCTTTATCATATAGTCGTATGGTTTTTTTGGTGGTTTGTTGTTTTGGAGGAGTGATTAGAACGTCGGCTTGAATTACTTTATGGTCGCTTATTTCTGACAACTAGGAAATAGATGTTACACTTTCAGGAATACTGGTTAGTATTAGGTCTAATATGTTTTCACAGTCTTGGGTTACGCGGGTTGGTTTGGTGACAACTTGAGCTAAGTTGAAATTTAGACATACATTAACAAATTCACTCGCCTCACTCTGTAGTCCTTCGTTAACAGTTAGATTAGGCCAGTCAATATTCGGGAAATTAAAGTCGCCAAACAAGATAATATGGGCATTAGGGTACTTTGTTGAAAGTTCATTTAGCACCGAATTAAGCATGCCGGGAAAGTCAGGATTCCTATGTGGGGGCCTGTAGCACACGCCAATTAAAACTGATTGCGGTGCAGCTTGGTATTTTATCCATATTATTTCCAAGTCTGACGAAATATTTACCAAAGTTGCGGGTAGGCCCTGGCTAACAGCAATGAGCATTCCTCCTCCCATTCTGCCGTCCCGGTCCTTACGGAAGATCTGAAAATTTGGTAAGTCAGCTAGAACTTCCTGATCGCTTACGTCACTATTAAGCCATGTTTCCGTTAATACAAGCAAGTTGCTACTGGATGATGAAACAAAATTAGAGATGATTTCGCGTTTCGAAATGAAACTGCGAATGTTGGTGAAGATTACGGAAAGAGACACGGTAGTTTGCTGTGTTGATTGGGGATTAGTTGATGATAACGGACGACGCAGTGATTGCTAGGTTACTTCCTTCACTGCCTGGGAGGATTCATCAAAGACGTAGCGTTTAGAACCTATGAGCAAAGTTTTGAAGCTTAATTTAAATGCTGTAAATTTTGATCTGGCAAAAGTGACAAGGTGTCTTCGTGCATGTCGGACGGCAGGGGAAAAGTGCTCACCAACGCTGTAGTTAGTGTCTTTAAATTTCTTGCCTTCCGACAAGATCGACTGTTTGACCTTAAACGAACTAAATTTTACAATTACAGTACGGACGCGGTCAGGCGAATGGCGACCAAGGCGGTGTGCGCGTTCAACTTGTGAAGGCTGTATTTCTAGTTCAAGGTTTTCAGTGATACACCGAATGACTGTTGCCTCTGAATCGGCAAAGGATTCTTTGGGATTAGGATCAGGAATACCATAAAATATCAGGTTTCGGCGGGAATGGTTTTCGCTAACGTCTGCACGGGATTGAAAGTTATGATAATGCCGGGTGATATCAGTGGTTAAGGTTTTTGTGTCATCTAGTTCTCTGCGCATGCTTGAAAGTTGACAGTAATGCGTTTCCAGATTAGTCAGACGCTTGCATACATCGTTCAGTGCTGCGTCTGTTGATCGCAGATGATCTTTAACAGTTTGAAGTTCCGCGATCAATTTGGTTTGTGCTACAGAAAGATTTTTCAGCTAGGTGAGTACAGCATGTATGGTATCTGGAGGCCCCGGGTTAGTTTCAATATCCCCTCCCAAAAGCAGTAATGAGCGCAGCACTTGAAAACATTCGACAATAATAGCAACACAGCACTGCGGGCCCGGCAGCTGTACTAGAGAATAATTACTTGACTTTTTACAAAAGATAACCTGGGTGTTACCAACCTGCATAGTGAAGACGAACGGATTAGTAGACTGCGCTTTCGCACAGCTACCGAGCCCACAGAGCGGCGAAGACGGGTGGCACTCTTTTATAGCCGGTGACGTTGAAGTTTGCTTTGACGAGAATGGCCAGGCTGGAACGTAGATTGAGACATCTGGCGGCGGTACGATGAAGTGAAGATCGGTCAAGAGATGGCACCAGTTGTGGGAGCCATTCACAAAGGTATTGGGGGCGGGATACAGCGTTTGCTTGCTGCCCCATAGATTAATTACGGTGTTTAGAACCATCTACTTCTATTTTTAGAAATACTAGTGTTTATGAATATGTATTTGGAAAGCCTAACGGAAGTGTTTGACCACATTTTTTATTTATTTTATTTAAATAAAAAAACAGCCATTTCATTGTGAGAATTGGAAGCGTGGGAACAGAAATCGCTCATAAATCAAGCATTAGATAAAGCAAGTTAGAATACATAGCACTATAAACTGCATGATTTATCAAGCACCATCAAAAAAGCAAGTTACAA